GAAATGATGTCTTTAGACTACTGAAATGTTGTCCTTAAACTACTGAAATGTTGTACTTTGACTACAGAAATGGTGTACTTTGACTACTGAAATGATGTCTTTAGACTACTGAAATGTTGTCCTTAAACTACTGAAATGTTGTACTTTGACTACTGAAATGATGTCTTTAGACTACTGAAATGTTGTCCTTAAACTACTGAAATGATGTACTTTGACTACAGAAATGTTGTCCTTTGACTACTGAAATGGTGTCCTTAGACTACTGAAATGTTGTCCTTTGACTACTGAAATGTTGTCCTTAGACTACTGAAATGATGTCTTTATACTACTGAAATAAGATCTACCACCTTAATTACATCAGCCACTTGTGTACGTAGCTCTACAGAGATGATGAGGACAAAAGGACTAAACTGAAATTGAAGATCTGAAGTGGAAGAACCAATGATAGTAACTAAAAAGAAAATGAGTAATAAAATGAAAGATAATTAATATGCTATAAACACAATGTCAATTATTACACCTTTAATTACCTACATGGCAATACCCCTTGTAAATAACTTTGGACTTAAATTGTCAGCTGCCATATATATACAGCAAAGTAATTAAGACAACAGACTCTAGATCTGTTTAAGGCAGAATAAAATCTTTTCTTGATATATACTGAACTGTATGTTGTAATGATCTACTGACATGGACAAAGGAGCAGACAGGAACAGTGAGTGATAGTTAATGGATCAGCATTAAGCTCCTTCTCAGAATATAGAGATTGAGTAAGACGTTTAATTTCTAAAACATCTTTGTTCAGGGGTTCTATACTATTTATGATATATTAATGATGAAAAGTACATGAAAGCCACTTTATCGTTACAAGACACATTCACTGACCAGACATCAACACAGAAAAGGTTATAATTTAATTTCCAAAATAGCAATTACAATGTATATACAAGTATTTATCACTTTTTATCAATAATGCAGGAAGGGTGCCCCAAATATCTAAACAGTCATATGCATGCATTACAACACTTTAAATGAAACAGTATCGTACCTCTGAGTTTGTCTCTTCTGTATAATGTCTAGTCGCTTCTTTCTCTCATGGATTAATTATTTCAATGACCAAAGGACCTGAAAAGAAAAATAAGAATATGCATATATTAATTCAATGCAAAAACTTATTAAAACATGGCTTGCACATTTATAACTAGATACTCTATTGTGCTCTAAGATCCACTGTTGGCTGTACCAGTAACAGTATTACTTACACTGTGTTGTTCTACATACACATTTCACATACCACTCCACCGGTGTTTATTTTGCTGTATATATGTATGTGTGTAGAAGATTTTTCACCAGCACAGAGATATGAGGGTAATGAGATTAAGTTGTACAGCTGGGGACATCTCCACGCTGATCATTGACACACGAGATTCACTCTCACACGGTCACCATTCTTGTACCAGAAAGTTAAGTTCCTCTCACATATTGATTTTCTCTCTGAGAAGACAATCATTTCCAGAGAAAATATATGACAGGGGTTCCGTCAGGCATGCTAACAACAGTGAATGGAGTCTGACAATAGAAATTAGTTCATCAGTCTGCTGGTAGGCATTATTTTCTGTTGTAGATGTCCCCCTCCCCACTTAACATCCTTCTAACTATAAGTCTATAGTTCTTCCCACAAAAGATTAAATTGGTCAAGATGAGCAATGTAACGATCAGGAGTTTAAACATCTAACAAACATATGTTCAAAAACGATCATGGAACAAACAACATTCAGGAAATTTTGAAAAGCAAAATAAAATCAATTGTTACACACGTTAAGGTTGTGTCTCTGTGACCTCTCATTACACAACTCAATTTGATGCTCGTTTTTTATTACACATAGTAATAATATCTTGTAGGTGAACAACATGACATGCACCATATATATGCCTGCCTATACAGAACAATGTTAGAATCTAGACCAGATATCAACATAAATAGATGCCACCCACACACTTCTAAGTTCCAGCAACTGTTTAATGAATAAGCTTGAATTAAGGACAAGTTCAGTTGCATATCATCTGAAGCATCTGCAAGGTTTCAGAGCTGCAAATTGAAGCTACAGCTTTAGGTAATGTTTAATGGTTTCTGAATTAGCAATGGGTTTTAAATACTCTCCTTGTTGCTAATTCAAGGTTTATGTTAACATATAGTAATCAGAATTCAGTGTAAAACATATTTAAATGTTAAATGGGGGTTAACTTTTTTTTTGGGGGGGGGGGATTTTTTCTTCATATATTTGCTAATTGTAATGTATAGTTAATTGCATATTTTATGTTCAGTCATTATTTGTATCTTTTGGAAAAAGTTTCATATCAATCCATTAAAATGACTTTTTTTATGTTCCAGGGGAAATTTTATCGTTTCTTTTATCATATATCTCTTCTTCTTGGCTTTGCCACATTGTTGAAGAACTAATACCATGAGTATAAATATGTTTCTCATCTTACTTTTTATAAAATACTCATGTGTAAGAGTGTCTCATTGACCAGTGATATTACACATGTTGAAGTGTCTCATTAACCTGTCATTACACATGTAGAAGTGTCTCATTAACCTGTCATTACACATGCAGGAGTGTCTCATTGACCTGTCATTACACATGTTGAAGTGTCTCATTGACCTGTCATTACACATGTAGAAGTATGTCTCATTGACCTGTCATTACACATGTAGAAGTGTCTCATTAACCTGTCATTACACATGCAGGAGTGTCTCATTAACCTGTCATTACACATGTAGAAGTGTCTCATTGACCTGTCATTACCCATGTAGAAGTGTCTCATTGCGCTGTCATTACACATGTATAAGTTTGTCTCATTGACCTGTCACTACACATGTAGAAGTGTGTCTCATTGACCTGTCATTAGACATGTAGAAGAGTGTCTCATTGACCTGTCATTACACATGTAGAAGAGTGTCTCATTGACCTGTCATAACACATGTAGAAGTGTCTCATTGACCTGTCTTTACACATGTAGGAGTGTCTCATTAACCTGTCATTACACATGTAGAAGTGTGTCTCATTGACCTGTTGTTACACATGTAGAAGTGTGTCTCATTGACCTGTCATTACACATGTAGAAGTGTCTCATTGACCTGTCATTACACATGTAGAAGTGTCTCATTGACCTGTCATTACACATGTAGAAGTGTCTCATTGACCTGTCATTACACATGTAGAAGTGTCTCATTGACCTGTCATTACACATGTAGAAGTGTCTCATTGACCTGTCATTACACATGTAGAAGTGTCTCATTGACCTGTCATTACACATGTAGAAGTGTCTCATTGACCTGTCATTACACATGTAGGAGTGTCTCATTGACCTGTCATTACACATGTAGAAGTGTGTCTCATTGACCTGTCATTACACATGTAGAAGTGTCTCATTGACCTGTCATTACACATGCAGGAGTGTGTCTCATTGACCTGTCATTACACATGTACTGTAGAAGTTTGTCTCATTGAACTGTTGTTACACATGCAGGAGTGTGTCTCATTGACCTGTCATTACACATGCAGGAGTGTGTCTCATTGACCTGTCATTACACATGTAGAAGTATGTCTCATTGACCTGTCATTACACACGTAGAAGTGTCTCATTGACCTGTCATTACACATGCAGGAGTGTGTCTCATTGACCTGTCATTACACATGCAGGAGTGTGTCTCATTGACCTGTCATTACACATGTACTGTAGAAGTGTGTCTCATTGACCTGTCATTACACATGTAGAAGTGTCTCATTGACCCGTTGTTACACATGTAGGAGTGTCTCATTGACCTGTCATTACACATGAAGGAGTGTGTCTCATTGACCTGTCATTACACATGTAGAAGTGTGTCTCACTGACTCATGATTCAATTTGTCCCCTATAGCATCACAACTGTATCCCTCTTTTTTATTTTACGAAAATTTGGGGAATTGAGTGGGCGGCACCTTGACGATACACACCATCTAATCTGTCGCATGATACGGTGTATTGCGTAAGCTCCGCCCATTATGACAGGAGGGCTACTGTGCTGAGGTGTGATTGACGTTTCAGACCAACCAATAATTTTTGGTGATTTCACAGTGCAGTGACAGTCGGCTTGTCCGCCTCGGTAGATTTTTCAATAAACTTATGTTAAGATAACATTTTATACAATGTATACTAAACGGATACACTTATAATGATGTGTTAATTAATGTACCGGTCCTTTTCAATTATAATCTAGATTGTTTAAAGGGGAAATCTTGTAATCTAGTCAAATTAACCGACACTTGCACATCGTAAATGTTGCCCAAATGTTTATCTCGTTACAAGGCAGTGCTACTTTATATTAAGCATACATTGGTAATTTTAAATAGATCTCGTGGAACTCGTTTCTTTTTAAATATCCACTACAAGACGGGTTTCCCCCCTAGTATGTGCTGGCATTTCTTTTCCGTTCGGGAAATTCAAGTAGCGCTTTCTGTTCGGTTTGCCGATTGTTACTGTGCATCTGTGGTACCGTAGACAGGAACAGCGGACACAGCAGACACAAACATGGCCCAAAGTTTGAATAAAACTTGAACTAGTAATATACTGTATTTTCTCTGTCCAGACTTAATCCCCATCACCCATGAACGCGGGATAGTCGCGGAGGGCTTATCAATGTAAAGCCGGCGGATCTACCTTGAAATAGCCGGCGTTTCTTCCGCGATCATCCCGCGGCTACGAGCGACAGGGATTAAAATTTGTCACTCGGCGGGCGACTGAGTACCAAATCACCTGACGCGTACTGTAGAAGTGTCTCATTGAACTGTTGTTACACATGCAGGAGTGTCTCATTGACCTGTCATTACACATGTAGAAGTGTGTCTCATTGACCTGTTGTTACACATGTAGAAGTATGTCTCACTGACTCATGATTCAATTTGTCCCCTATAGCATCACAACTGTATCCCTCATCCACACATTTCCATGTTCTTTTTAACACATAATGATATTAACATAAATACAGACGGTTAGGTACCTCAAAATAATAATTCCCAACATCATGACTGACGTTTCAAAGGAAATTTCTCAGCATCAAGATTAAAATCCATGACTGTGTTAGCACATCCTCCATTACCACGATCACAAACACCTGTATGTACCTGGATATTATCAGACAACAGACACTGTATTGGTGTGGTGTAAATCTACATTCTCCCCCTGATATCAAGTCAACAGAATAATCCCATTCCCTTTGTGTTACACCAACTTAAGATTTGTCTGGAGATAGTGATAGACAAATGAAAACCAACTGATTACCTCACATGAAAGGAGGTAAACATTCAATCTCTTACAAAAACAAATTTCACATGATAGTAAAAACATAAAAAATATATTTTTGCATATTCATTAAATCTGGAATGGAGGAAAATTTGCATGTATTTAATGCAAACTTGTTAAGTTGTAATTTTGTTCTTTTACATATCTTGCCACCAAATTAAACTTGAAAATTGTAATATTGAGCTTTCTATTTCATGAGATTTATATTTTTATTTCATAGATTTATAAAACAAACAAGAGTATCAGTGGAACTGATGTATGCTCCCCGAAAACAACTTTATAGGAGGCTTTTCCTGTTTGTGAATTTTGCATTTGGTTAGATTTATGTCACATATTGGTAAAAATATAATGAAATGGAGAGTTTGGGAGAAGAAAAATAATGTTTTAACACATTACATACATGTAATGTGTCCGACACATAACATATGCTTCAGCTATGAAATATGAAGGCATATTTTACTGATAATTAATGTATTCTACTATATGCCAGCTATAAATAAGTACTGATAGTTAGTTATGTGTCTATGAATATTTTGGTATTGTAAATTTTGTGGGAGATAGTCAGAATTCAAAGATAGGCTTTTTTAAATTTCATTTCATGAAAGGGTAAGAAAGCAGACAGACAAAAAGAAATTCTCATTTATTTTAATTCTTTATATATACAACTGAAAGAAATCCGATGATTTTTGAAACTTCCCTTTATAAAGTAAACAAATGAGGATAAAAGGCATAAGGAATAAATACAAACCATGTTAGAGTTTCCACACAGTTAGCGACAATGAGACTGATTATTAAGTTGCCCAAACAAACTTTATAAGTTTGGAAGACTTATTGTTTTTGCCCCGTTTCTTATTATTGTAATTCTTCCTCTTCTTCTTCTGGTTCTTGTTCTTAACACAATCTTGTCCTACTGCTTTCTGGAAAACTGGTTCTCTGAATTTAATGAGACTTAACATGATTATCGCTGAGCATGAGCAAATGAATAATTCCACTGGGGTTTTTTTCTGAAAATGTATCACGTGACCAAATGGTGCAGGCAAAGTTATGCTACGGACACAACATTTTAGGAATAACTCTGTAATTAAGGGGTTGTGGGCCCTGAATTTGGTACATGTACAGTGCACATCGCCTTAGTATGACTGATGTATATGTATACACACCAAGTTTCATGATCCTACCTTAAATGTAGGTAAAGTTATGCTCTGGACACGAAAAGGACTGACCGACTGACAAAGACGCAAATATATGCTCCCTCGAAAATTTTCGGGGAGCATAATAAATTTCAACAAGGCTTAGCCTATCTTTTTAAACGAAAAGCTTGGAGAGTTTCTGTCAGAACAACAATTCATAAGAATGTTATCAATGCAGGTATTGGATAAAAAATGCATCTAAATTAAGCTTCCTGAATTCTTTAGATGTTGGTAAACTAGCTAAAGGTCACTCTATCTCTATTACAAAATATAATTATAGATTTTTTTTTTTTAGTTATAATGACTATGAAACTGTACAACACTTCAACATCTTTGTTTTCTCAAATGTTGATTTTCACAAATTCACAAATACGCAAAAGACATCTTAAAGTGTTTCTGTAGTACAATGGCATGATATGAATGATAATCATTACCATGCTCAGAGCGAGGTCAGAAAGAGGTCAAAGGTCATGAGAACTGTACCAGATAACACTGTTGTCTCCATTTCATGGGCTAGTACACCAGTACAAACAAGATAACACCTTGTGTCAGCCTATATGTAAGTTGTACACCAGGCTACCATAATTATAAACATGGCAATGCTTCCTACATGCATTTTAACTACATCTGCCTACCTGGTATGTCCAAGTGTGTACTAGACATGTACAGAGGAAGGAATCACATCATACATATATATACAATCTGTCCATCATTCGTTTTAAAAAGAAATCTTTGTATTTTAAATTCACGTTTTCATAAAAGTATGAAAAATGGAAAGGTTGACAAATTTGCATTACAAAATCTATTAATTGTGTGGTACTTTTGTCTAATTTTCTGATATAAGATTAGCTAGTGTTGATTATTCCAATCATGATCTGCAGTTTGTCCCACACTGACTTTCATATATCATCTGTTAACCTTCCTAACTATCCGTGTAAACCACTTGTGTTATTTTGTTCTATGCTTTACTTTACTCTGCAGTAGCTAGGTAAAATATGTGAGCTCAAGCTGAAGCTACCCACATCATCTCCATGTCTGGAGGTCAGAAGGTTGCGGGGCCCCTACCCCGGCCACCTTAAAGGTAGGGGAAGGCCATAATGCTTGCTGTTTAGTTGCATTCCGCTTCCGCTGTTTTCATCGTTACATTTTCAATATCACTAATTATAATATGACGGTTAATGGTTATCACTGACAACATACATTAAGTTGATAACTTAAAGATGCAAATAGGTCAGTTTGACCTGTTTTGTACAGCCCTGACCCTTCGTCATACCCACCACCACCCTGACACAACCAGGACCCCACACTAACTTCCTAGTGAGGAAAGGAATCCAATACCTATACCACTACAGCCCCAAACCTTATGTTATTTTAATTGAACACATGTATGAATGTAGATTTTTTTTAAACTGTCCTCTTGAGCTGCAGATCTTATTAAGAATTATAGCTTCTACATGTATAACGAATTTGTTATCCAAGTCAACCTATTTGTCTGCTGACATTCACCATGGCCAGTATTTTACCATTGATGTGGTGTAACTATATACACCATCTAAACTGTGTACTGGAGGTACCTGGCTCATATACACCTGATACACACACTCCTGAGTTAAACAGAACCAATGGACTACTACACAGCAGTAGCTATAGGTATACACAAAGTAGGTAAACAGAAATGTCTTTAATAGAGGTGGACCCTGTCCTCCTGGACTAAATGTGTTCTAACACAAGCCATGCAAACGCTATACTACAACAATGTGTTAACATATTCTCAGTAGTTAAATGTTTACAGTAATTACTACAGCAACAAAACACAGAGCCTATAACATAATACAGTACCTACATACATCAGTATATTTACATATATTACTGAAATTGACGATAAACATTTAAAAGCTATTGTAGGAAAACTTTTAAACAAAAACAGCAAGATCACTAGCATCATCCCCTCTGCTCTGTCAAAGTAAATGTGGCTTCATTATACAATAAAACTACAAACTACCTGTACTTGTGTGTAAACTGACAAACCACATCAATCATATCTTCAATATTAATGAACACGTTGTAGGCCTGAATCATGTGTACCAGGAAGACAATGAGATATATACTACTAAGCCAGTCCAGGTGTAACATATAGCAGGGTGTCACCATGACTCCTTCATTGCAGTATATATTTTTTTCATGACAAATGACACATTGTTTTTACCTGTATAAGAAAAGCAAACTATATAGAGACTAGTCTTATCAGAAAATACTAACGTGACATTGCATCGTAAATGTTAACAGTTACATGATGGAAAAAAATGAAAAGTGATAATACAAATTGCAGCGCTACATGTACATTATACAGAAGTGATAAAAAGGTACAATAATTTACTTGGAGTGAAACTATTAGATTATAGATGATGAAAGTTTGTAATGCCAGAATGATCATCATAGTATAGTCACCTATAGGAATATATATAACACAAATGGGTGGTGTAAGATAATACATGTTCTGTGACCCCAAACAACTGACCTTTGAACTGCCACCGAGCTTACAAACTAGGACACCACATCAGTATGTGGGTATATAGTAGATCAACAGATCAGGATGTCTATTACCTATGATACCATCATCCCCACTCAACACACTTGTGAAGGTATACACTGAAATGTTGTATTACATCCTGCTGCATCAGTCCACTGCACTCATAAACATGTGACATGTGTAACTAATTTTATCAAAACATACTGTTCTCCCCTACAACTGAGGCTAATCTTTGGAAGTAGCCTCCAATACGTGTACATGTAGGAGAATGTGTGCATCTCCAATTCAGTTCCTACAGACTTCGTGCATGGCGGTTGTGCTCGGGATTATCTTTGGCTTGGGGATTCTGCTTAGATAACAACATTATTTGGATTGGTTTTTTTAAATTACAATATTGTTGTTTGGATACTTAGCATTGTAGATTATGTGCACATCTTTTAAGTACCTAACATTACATTTTATACATTTACAAGTTCCATGTATTAATATTGCATCTTTTTAAAATTGTAACACATTTTTATTATGATATCAATGCCTTGTATATGTTAAGAGTAATTATATAAATATACTGAAGTAACTGTTTCACTGATGAAAAAACCCAACAAAACTGTAATTCCACAAATAGATGTACTTATGGAGCATTATTATGGATTTCTTAGTAAACAAATTAAGCACTGATTACAAGTTCTTGTTTTCTTCAATTAAAAACATCTGTCTTTACAATAAACTACCAGTGTTTTGTTTCATGGACATCAACATTGACTAGGAAGAAGGTTTAACACCCATGTCTGAAATTAAGTCTGTCCTTCAGCCAATAACTGTAAACACATACCTGTGTTACAACACAGCCCCACACAACTCAGACAACATGTGATAGGCACAATGTATTTACTTAGCCACTGACTGCCAGCATACTGAAGATCAACAACCTATTTCTGCCTTCTCACAATAACACAGACTCTGACATCACAGCTGGCATGTCTAGAATATCAGAACTAAAATGGTTTCTGATTCACACAAAGCCAGTGTTTAGCACACAAAGTGGTTGTAAAAGGCACAACTAAACAACTACTGAGCTAGCTATTGGAGATCTTCTGATAAAATATTCGTGTTGTTGCTATCAGCCGGACTGCAGGGCATGTACCACCAATAGAGGCCTCCTTTGTGCTCACGATTTTCTGTAGACAGATATCTTCAATTCTACACTAATCACCTGTCAATTTACAGAGTGACCAATGGTCAAATTATTACCTAGTTGTAATGATTTACCTGTTTTGTGATGCCTTATCCTTGATGCAAACCGGGAGCCCACCAATCTTCCTCAAATATGGTATGCTTGTATGCACATGTGTATGTGTGTGTGTCGACCAGTGCTTGTGTTTACAACTACAATCTAAGGTGGGATAACTCTTACAGATCTAAAACCTTTTCCATACAATGTTCCCAGGCTAATGTCTACAATTATAGCAAATCTTCTTATAGATATGTCAATATTTTCTAGTTCATGATCTATTATAAAATATAATAAAATGTTTATCTTTTGTTTTTTAATTACTTTAACTATTAATGGGTGAATAGTGCATAGGGAAAGGGCTTAGTAAAAGTTGTATAACTTGTCCCCAACTCAAATTGTACATAAATCACAATAAAATATGTTTAAAATCAAAAATAATATTGGAGTCAAGTTTTGGTGTAAAGCTGTTCCTAAACGTATATCACAATCAACAATATAACTATATAAATCATCCTTATAAAAAATCAATCAACTCCAACTACGGTACACAAAAAATAAAACTGTCTTGATATTCATTCTGGATTACAATAACGGTTACAAATCAAATCAGATTTAAAAGGGGTGTGGTTAATTTCTTTCTTTTTTTATTTTAAGTTTAAACAATATTTATATTTTTTTAAAACAATACACACTTTAAGTCCATTTGTTGATATTATCAGATTTTACACTGTAGAGTCTCTCATCTGTCCATGATGCCATCTCACCTTGGTTTACCAGACAAAGCACATCTATATATATTGTACAGTACCGATAGTAACATCGTTTTTAGCACCAGATCCAACTGAAATATGCGATTCACAAAGATTGCAGAATGGAGCGTTTGGTCCATGACCGCCAGACTTTATCCACTATAACTCATTTTCCTACGACATTTGATATGTGCACAATTATCTTTTCTTTTAGCATTTTGTGTAGTAGAACCAGCAAGTCCCGATAACAAGTTCTTCCTTTAAGAAGACATAACGTTACCTTCAAAATACGAAATATACTACGTAAACACAATTTTTACAAGAGGTCCATTGGACCTGTATCACTCACCTGGTTATATATTTAAGTCATTACAAATGAATACATTAGTACATCTTTATATGAAAATTCCTTAAAACTAGACAAGATCTATGTTCTAACCCAACTGGGACCACAATATCTGAATTTCAACTAATCAGGGGCCTCCATTGAGTTGCCATGTTAACAGATTTTGAAATAAGTAATATGTCATATTACAGGGTGTAATTCCACAATACTTTAATTTTCATTCAACTATAAGCTTTTATAAACCTAAAAACCAATTTTTAACAATTTATGAAAACTACACCACAGAATATGATAATCTAGCTGTACCATTTCTTAGGACCGCAGGTCCAATCAGCCTCATTCAATTAAGAAATGTTCGTTCTTCCTCAATAATGTTTTTTTACCAAATTTTGTACAATCCACTCAGGCAATTAGGGGGTATTAGCGTCTTAAAGCAAAATATTAGATAGTTTTCCTGTTTGGGGCCCTGTCTTTCTAGCCCCAGGTGTCGAACAAGTCTCATTTATTTAGGAAGTTTCCGAGCAAACTTGGTTGAAATCTTCTCTGGCGTTTAGGAGAAGATGCGTTTTAAAGCAAATATAGCTAAGTTCCCCTTCAGGGCCCCGCCTCCCTGGCCTCAGGGGTTGAACCAACCTCACTTATTTAAGAAATGATTGCCCTCCCCTAGTGATACTTCAGAGTAAATTTGGTTGAAATCCTCCCTGGCGTTAAGTAGGAGATGCTTTTTAAAGCAAATTTAGCTAAGTTCCCCTTCAGATGCCCCCCTTGGCCTCAGGGGTGGAACCAACCTCACTTATTTAAGAAATGATTGCCCTCCCCTAGTGATACTTCAGACTAAAATTGGTTGAAATCCTATCTGGCCTTAAGTAGGAGATGCATTTTAAAGCAAATTTAGCTAAGTTCCCCTTCAGATGCCCCCCTTGGCCTCAGGGGTGGAACCAACCTCAGTTATTTAAGAAATGATTGCCCTCCCCTAGTGATACTTCAGAATAAATTTGGTTGAAATCCTCTCTGGCCTTAAGTAGGCGATGCGTTTTAAAGCAAAATTAGCTAAGTTCCCCTTCAGAGCCCCGCCCCCCTGGCCCCAGGGGTCGAACCAACCTCATTTATTTAAGAAATGATTGCCCTCCCCTAGTGATACTTCAGACTAAATTTGGTTGAAATCCTCTCTGGCCTTAAGTAGGAGATGCGTTTTAAAGCAAAATTAGCTAAGTTCCCCTTCAGAGCCCCGCCCCCCTGGCCCCAGGGGTCGAACCAACCTCATTTATTTAAGAAATGATTGCCCTCCCCTAGTGATGCTTAAGGCTTAATCTGTTTGAAATCCTCTTTGGTGTTTAGGAGGAGATAGGTTTTAAAGAAAAAGTTGACAATGGATGACGGACAACGACGACGGACGACGCGCCACGGCATAAGCTCACTTGCCCTTTGGGCAGGTGAGCAAAAAACAACTCAATTATATGTTAAAACACCTCATTAATTACTTGTCGGTAAGTTCAGTAACAACGGTCTTTATATAAACATTTGTAAAAACAGTTCTAGTGTGACTAGTACGTATATAAACAACTCACAACTAATATGTTGGTGAGAAACGGAAACAGGAAATAGATCGTCTTTCTTATGACAAAGGATGGAAAAGTGTAGAGAATACTGAGGGACTTTCCAATATAGGAAAATATTTCGGGCGAAAACGGGCGAAATCCGGGTCAAAATCGTAACCCGGCGGGTGAAGTTATCAAAGCAGGTGAAGGGCTAAAATCCTGGGTGTAACCCGACGAAATCGGGTCATTTCTAGTAAAGATGCCAATATATACAGACAAATTAATCAAGCTCTGTAACATTGCCTATGTCTGAGCAATCACTACTTGTGATCATATACTTCTTGTACCAGTAAAATATACAGGGGATATATACAAAGCAGTATCAATTTAACAGCAAAATAACTACGTATCGAACAATTAAACACCTAATACTAATCTAACTGAGCGCTCCTACTACTGACTGCATGCTCAGAACATGTAAATATACACACGCGGCCAATCGCTCACTGATCTCTCACTGCCCGCTACAGCAACACACATACAGGTCTCTACCGGTACTGATGATAGCTCATCACAGTGGCTAGAGATAGCTTAGTACGGCCGATTTATCACTATGACCACTGCTCGGCACCACTACCTGTACCTAAACTGTACAATTTGTAGAACTTGATCCCCTCGCTAACCTTGATTCTCCTTTTAAGTGGCAACCTGTCTGCTCTCTTGGTTTATTCCGATCAGTCCCGAAATTAAAATATGAACAACTAAGGATCATCAGGAACTTGCATGTATTATTTGAAATATCTCTTTTCGGTACGAATTTGGCCGCCTCACATACCCATATGCCCTACTTGTCACCAAGAGATTGTCCGCATCAACTTATGTAAAAACCCATGTAATTTGCGCACCTGTGTAATTTGCGCAGGCACTTTTTGAGGCTGAAAATCCCCATAATAGCTTCTACTCGAATATTTTGCGCACCAAAAAATTTTGAAAAAAAAGTTCCGAAAATTGATCTCTGAAAATGAAAGACAAACCGCTTGGATTCTTAGGATTTTTGTAATTTGCTTATTATAAGTAAGTTCATAAGTATTGTTTACAGGTACAATGATGTTAAAACTAAGTAGAAACTGCGTAAAATGTGTATTTTGTTGTTTGTTTCCTTTGAAATATCTGATCACACATGACACACACGTGTGCACATAACGGCATACATCAATTCATTTCAGCAATATTTTACATTTACTTGCTTACAAAAACATATCAATTAATAAGTAATTTGATGTGCATATCTCCTGGTGAAAGACATAATTAGATACCTTTTATTGATCATAATTACGATCAGTGAGAAGGGCTCATTATGGCGGCTTGGGTATCGGCACTTCAAACCAGGTTATGTCACAGTTCAGTTTGGCGATACGTTTTGGCCACACAATTTTTACCTACTGTAAAGTTATTAAAACCGGTCATCTGTGGTCATGACTGCTGGTTTGGCGACATTTATAGGTAAGTTAACCGGAGCATATAACTTCACCCACATCATCTGGTCCCGGACAAGAGGCCAGGTAGGATCGCATGCTTCAGCGTAAATTATTGACACTTCTCGACACTAGTCAATAAAAATTACAATGCAGTAATTAGCTAACACGATATCTGTGATTACCTGTTAACAATAGCTCTACTAATTGAAATGATTTGCAGTCGCGATCGACGGACCGTGTTGTTGTTTTTTTCACTCACCAACACGTGGCGTGAATTACGAAGTCCTGCATTGTCATAACTACAGACTGATTTGACCGATAAGGGATTATAAAAAAATATGTTTATACTATAAGCGTGGACAATCAATACATCCTATTCAAATCTACTCCAAGGGGGAAAAAATCAAATCAGACTATTTTAACGAAGTTTCATTTAATAAATATTGAAATAATTCACGAGGTAATTATCGATCACATAATGTTAGATGCGAGATCAACATGAAAGTGAGCCGGGATTTGAAAAAAAATCCTAACAGAACTTACATAGAACCAGAGACGTATAATACAGAGACTGGCAACTTGGTCTTGGCCTTACCATTGGTCACTGGTATCGAGAGTTACGCTTCACCTGCGCCATATTGAATATGCGGTTCGCTGCATTCAACTCAAATCATAATTATGCCATGAGAAAACATCGCAAATCAACGTAACATTAAAACCGTACGTAGCTACAAAATGTAGCTGAGATTTCCATGCGGTTTGGGAGTGCTACATTGAATGTAAACTTGAATGATTAAGTTTAGAAAACCCCAAACATCGAAAGATTGCACATCGTGGCTGTGTTTACATATCGGTAATTATTCTGGCTTCAGGATAACACTATCTCCGTTTTTGTTCTTTAGACAATTTCAAAAAAGTTTTCAGAAATTAATTATATGATAATATTTCTAACCAGGAAATTTAAATGAGGTTGTTACAATACTTGCAAAGTTTCATAATTCAGCTGTGAAAAGACAG